GGTAGTCGATAAAGATTTATAAACCGTCTCAGTTGAATGGTTTTGAACTTTATGACTATGTCATAGAGTTGCACCTCTTAATTCGAAAGAAATAAGAATGAAAATCCTTATGACTACATTGAGTGCATATACGATATATACTCAAGGAAATGGTAAAGTACCATTTGACTCGAAATAATGAAACCTTTAAAGCTAATTGGTAGCTTAAGGTGACTACGATCAAATAGAATGGTTGACTTTAAAGGAACCATTTTTGATGTAGTCTTAGTTTCAATAAATTCGAAGATTGCTAGCTACAACTAAATGGTGATTCAATGTTTGGACATAATATGGGTTTCCGAAACCATTATTAAGATAGTCTTGATAATATATGTCTAAAACTATAAATCACAAGACATGTAAGTTGTAGAGACCCATCCATCATGGATCTTAGCAAGTTAGTGGGAGCTATTTGCATTTTATGAGAAAAAGGATCAAATCGTTTGATTTCTCATAAAGATGTAAATGAATCTTTTGTTTACTAGTTTTACAAAAGATTAGTGGGAGTTAATCATGTTCGTAAAAATTTAAATATATATGATATATTAATTTTGGAAATGAAAAGAATACTTCTTCGTTAAAGTTATGACTTTAATACATTATATGAAGATAGAATGTATATGGGAGATATAGTCTATATACATGGGATGGAAATCTATAATGATATATTTCATGATATAATTGGATTATATCAATCCCTAATAATAGACAATGGATGCTAGGAAGTTTCTCATATGATGATAAACTTCAATAAAAAGGACGATTCTAGTGAGACTAGCAAGTTGCCCTTCTCAAAGGGAACGTGCCCCTTTGACTCCCAAAGAAATAATGCGTAAATTGAATCCTTTATGCATACGCAGAAAGGTGATTTATGTATTTCATATTGTATGAAAAACATTGATATGAGTTGTACCTAGAACGGTACAAGATGATATCAGTGCAAGCCCAGGATCAGAACCATGGCTGCTGTCAAGTGAGTCCTTAAGTATTTAAGAAATACTAAAGGATAAATTCCTCAAAGATCGAGGAAGAATCAAAGTAACGTAATGGAAGCGTAAATGTATTAGATTATGAATCTAATCCATCATTGGATGTTTCTTCATTATGAATGAAGAGATAAACAGATATCTCTTTATTATGACTAAAGAGATATTTGGATGGAAACATTAAAGTAATGACTTTAGTGTGTTCCATTATGAATGCAAGATATATTGCCATATAGAAGTTTACAACAATGTTGTTTGGATGGGAAAGTTCATTTATGAACTCTCTCTATTCGGTTCCAACCAGAAAGTGTATGACACTAATGGGGCGATAGCTCAAGCCTGGGAATCAAGGTCTCATCAAGATCCGAACACAAATGAGAGACTAAACCACATGATTGAGAATCATGTATAATGGTGACGTCGTTATTCTCAAGGTTGCTTCTGTGGATAACACATATAGATATCCACTGCCTAGGCCTACTATTCAGCCATTTATGAAATGACTACAGAAGAGGTATCATCAAGATGACCAAGCTGATTGGCTCTAGTGCAAGTGGGAGATTGTTGGAAATGTGCCCTAAAGCCAATCATGTGATGATACTTTACGGACATTTCACATGTTAAACTAATCTAGTTTAACATATAAAGGGCATACATTATTGTTTGAGCCGTCTCATATAAATGTTATATGCTTAAACGATAAAGTCCAAGGAATATGTGATTGGGAGAATGTAATCTAATGAAGTTAGATTCATGAGACCATTCTTTCGTAGACACATCCTAAACGTTCCTGATCATAGGATTGCCAATTGGGCGTTGACAGTCCGTTAAGATCAGTACGTACTATGTCTTCTCTCAGGGAGAGTGATTAGTCTCGAATCATTGGTGTGTGTGACATCAAGACAAGTACGGTAGGTGCTCAATAGAGAATGAGTTCACTGAACGCGATCAACGAAGAGTTCTCATATTCCATGTCACATGAGAACTCATGGTTGGGATAATGCAAAGTAGTCCTTTGACCTGAGGCATCATAGTTGTCTTGTGGTTAAGACCTTGATCTTTGATTATGTCAAAGTCACTCCATCAGGAGGGTGTCCACGGCATCGTTGGGGTCAAGTGACTTAGCTATGGAGACAAGTGAATGCGCAACAAGGGATCTCTAACCTTCAAACCGTTTGAGGGAGAATACTCTATGATATGATTTAAATCTCTGATCAGAGTATGAATGAGATTAGGGAATGCGTTCCGAATCACATTCATGGTAATCATATAAGCACAAGACACACATTGGATAGTAGACATGAGAAAATAAACTATCAAACCAAACAATGTGGTCAAGAGTATTAGATTAGAGAAAGACCGTATTGCATTTGTAATCTCGAACTGAATAGGTTCTCTAACCTCTTCTGATTAGCTTGGGTAACCATGATATGCTGCTAGGTGTCACTCATGGTTTGTGGAAGCCCTAAACGTGTATAATCACTAAAGGGAGAATTGAAAATAGTTTCAATTCACAATCGATGTAAAATGGTTTTAATCGCCCACTACCTCGCTAAAAGGAACCTAATGGATCGCACACCGTGAAAGGTGGAGATTGGAGATTAAACGGAAATGAGTAAGAATGATTAAATGGTTTAATCATTTAATTATGGCAAGGATCAATTAATATGTTAATTAATCAAACGAAAAAGTTCGTTAAAGACTTCGGGATAGTTTTGGACCTTAAGGCCCAATGGGCTTCGAACGTCAAGCCCATTAACTTAAGTTGTATGACAATTTAATGAATGAAGATTCATTAAAGCCCAAAAGCCCAAACATCCCTAAATGGCCAGCCATGATGAAATGAATTAGGGTTTTGGTTGTTTAGGTCACTTAAAGAAGTGACTATATAAATGACTTTATAACTAAAATTCATTAAGGAAATATTAAGGGTTTATTTTGGGGGAAAATTGGTGAGAATTGTCTCTCTATTTTCTCTCTAAATAGGCCAACACCTTGGAGGGTACATCTAGCAATCCTACTACTCCAAGGTCACTCATTTCTTCTACAATCGAACCTTGGTGTCGAGAATTAGAGGTTCTCAATTTTGGGAACTTGGAGAACCTATTCTTCCATCCAAATCCATGGATCTAAGAAGCAAGGAATGAAGGCCCCTATCTCTTTGGGTGATTAGCCTTTGCTTATGCAAAGAGGAATCTACAAAGGTATTAATTTCAACTCACTTTGTTTTTGAGTTGATTATTGGTTCACCAATCTACTAGGCTTTGAATTTCATGGGTAAATGTTTTGTATTTGAGTGCATGTAAGCATGATTCCGCCTTTAATTGTTAATTGCATGCTATATGATGTTGCTCAAATGAACATGTTTTCACAAAATAATTCCTTCAAGGGGAATCATATTTCACGTACAAATATACATAACATTTACACTCGTTGTTTTTATTCTTTTTTCTTTTTTAGAGTGGCATAATGACATAAATGCCAATAATAGTTCGAAAAAAAAAAACTGCATAAGACTCTAAAAGTGAGAAATGAAAATGCCGACACCGAAGACGATTTTTGCATGAATTAATTTTAAAAGAGAATTTAAAAGCTAAACAATTCTAATCGTTGAACCACATTTTGAAATAGTTTAAATACACACATATCAAATCATTAACATCATGTATTAACGTCTTTTGTCCTATTTATTATCATATAGTTTTCCAAATGCTGAGACATTACTGCATGATATGTATATAGCATGCTGAATATTTGACATAGTAACTGAAAACCAGTTTTACATTCTCACTTGGGAAGAAAAAGTGAAAAGCACAGGTTTGAGGTTTACATGGTTGCACCAATTTGTTTGGCATTCTGAGTGGGTTATTTCGGCTACATGCTTTCTTTCCTCTGAATGAAAAATAGATTCGAGCTTAGGAATTGTAAATTTGGTCAAACTTGTTCCTCTATGGGCCATATTCCATTATAAATTTGGTCAAACTTCAACTACATGCCTATTTATTATCATACAGTTTTGCTTGATATATAGCATGCTGAATATTTGACAAAGTAACCGAGAACCAGTTTTATATTCTCACTTGGGAAGAAAAAGTGAAAAACACAGGTTTGAGGTTGACAGAGTTGCACCAATTTGTTTGGCATTCTGAGTGGGTTATTTCGGCTACATGTTTCTTTCCTCTGAATGAAAATTAGATTAGAGCTTAGGAATTGTAAATTTGGTCAAACTTGTTCCTCTATGGGCCATATTCCATTAATTTAGCAAACATTTTCAGAGCCAGTACGTCACATATTTTTTTTTTATAATTCTGTAGCTTGGTCAAACATCTGACAAGATGGAAAAAAAAATTTCATGTGTCATAAATACGATTTGATAGTCATAATACAATTGGTTACATTTTTTTCCAATTTTTTAATTAATTGTGTTATTACATTTGATGTAATGTGTCTTATTTCTGATACTAAAAAAATCTTTTCATAACATGATCTCTCTCAACCCTTTGCCCTTTACCCAAAAGTGACAATGTCAATAAACTGTCCGTCAATGCAAACGACTATTGACCAAATCACTCTTTTCACACTTAAAAGCTTTTCTTTAAATCCTCAAATACATAAGAAATTTTTAGTTGTGACGGAAACACGAATGGTACATCAAGTGTTTTTATATAAGTGATGAAAAATTTTAATTTTTAAGTTATTAACCTTTTAACACACATATCACACCATTTATATAGAGATACGTAATATACTATCTCGTGTGACGATCACATTAAAAAATCTCTCCAAATACTCACTGAAAATCTTTCCATAACATGATCTCTCTCAACTCCCAAGCCTCTCAACCCTATGCCCTCCACCCAAAAGTGACAATGTCAATATAACTGTCAGTCAATGCAAACGACTTTTGACCAAATCACCCTTCTCACACTTAAAAGCTTTTCTTTAAATCCTCAAATATAAATGGATCATCAGAAAACCCCAAGAGAAAGAAGCTAAAGAGAAAAATGGAGGAGGTCGATCAGAAGATGATGAGTGCTAGTGATTCAAATAACATGATTTATAAGGATCAAGATGCAAATATGCTTCCTGGGTATCGCTTTCACCCTACTGATGAAGAGCTAGTGAGGTTTTACCTTCGGAGGAAGGTGGAGAACAAACCTATTCGTCTTGACCTAATCAAGCATGTTGATATTTACAAATATGACCCTTGGGATCTTCCAAGTAAGCTCCTCCGATCCATCCCTTCAATTTCTAACTACTACATATTGTTCCCGACGTATATGCATGCTCATGATTTTATGTAGATACACTTGTGAGTAAAGCATGGATAGAATTGATCGGTCCATACGTGTAGTGAAATTGAATATTATTTTTTGTGTTTACTCAAGTTTTTTTCTCCATTTGTTGAAATGCAGAAGCGAGTGGGGACAAGGAGTGGTACTTCTTTTGCAGAAGGGGAAGGAAATACAGAAATAGCATAAGACCTAATAGGGTTACAAAATCTGGGTTTTGGAAAGCTACTGGCATTGACAAGCCTGTATATTCGGTTGGAGACTTTCACAATTGCATTGGCTTGAAGAAATCCTTAGTCTACTACAGAGGAAGTGCCGGAAAAGGTACCAAAACTGATTGGATGATGCACGAGTTTCGTCTTCCAGCTAGTTCAAACACTGATACTTCTATCAAGAACAGTACTCAAGAAGCTGTAAGATTAATTCATCTTAAATAACGAGTTGCAGTACTATTAATTAAATTCTCTTAGTTGTACGTTTGTTACTCAATATTCGACATATTACGTACTCCACTAACTCTGAATTTGGATCGCACATTGAACGACATAATTAATAGTCTAGATGGTTTAACAATATAACATGTTAGATTATCTAGTTGAGAAAATACTACGATCAATATATATAAATATATATTGAAAAAGTGTGAGCCCGTTGATTAATTCTTTCATATGACTGCAGGAAGTTTGGACACTTTGCCGGATTTTGAAGCGAGATCATACTTCGTGTGGAAAGTATACATCAAATTGGCGTATGACAACCTTGAATCCCAAGCAAAGTGTGGCTGGCTCAAGTTCTAAAACATGCAGTTCTGAGTCAGATGCAACTTTTGGTGCTTTGGCTGCTAACGATCAATCTGAGAGGAGTCCTCTTTTCAATAATGTTCATACGTATGAAGGGAACCAATTCTCCCTAGGCCGGCTGAGCTTAAATGACGACGTAAACAATCCAAACTCGTGCATAAGCTTTCCGAATACTCCAAATGAAGAGATGTTAACATCGAATGGAAACTGGGATGAGCTCAGACCAATGGTTGACTGTGTTCTTAATCCGTCACTGCTATACAGTTATATGTAGCTAGCGGAAATTAAGTTCTCTAACCTTTGTCATAGTTAGGGGGATTACACACCCACATAGCATGCGGGACTCTTTTTTACCCTTGGATGTTGATGATCTACATGAATAACATATTATGAACGGTACTATCCACACGTTCATTTTTACATTTTACACATTTCTGTTAATTTATGTCATTTTTACCCTCTTTAATTCACTCAATTCAACGATCGAAAATTGAGAGAGGTGTGTATAGTTAAAAGAGATGTGTGGATAGCATCATCCTATATTAGTACAATTCCTTTCTTTTACGTTTATATCATTTAATTTTTAAAAACAAGTTGTAGTAGGGCAAAATAAGCCACCCTAACCTCCTATTCTTGAAGAGATGAAAACTCACAGGCACAAATAATTATTAAAAGGTTTTTATCATAAATGGTCATTGAAATTGAAAATCAATCAATGTAGTCCTTGAAAATAGGTGTCTCAAATCAATGTGGTCCTTCCATCACAATTCTGTTAAAAATTCCGTTGAGTACTAATGTGGCACATAAATAGTCTCATAAGTCATTTTTTCTCACAAATAGTCCTTAAAATTGATTTGTGACATCAAAATGGTCCCTGAAATTGCCTCGCGCCATCAAAATGGTCACTGAAATTGAAAATTGATAAATGTAGTCACACAAGTAAGTGTCCCAAATCAATATAGTCATTCCGTCACAATTCTGTAAAAAATTCTAGTATATGCTAATGTGATACATAAATGGATCACAAAGTCTAATTAAATTTAAAAAATTACAAATAGGTTTAGGGACCATCTTGAAAATGTAGGTCAATCTCAGGAACCATCTTGATGGTGTAAGTCAATTTCAGGGACCATTTGTGATAAAAACCCGTAAATCTTGTAGGCCCATTTATGTGCCACATCAACACTTAATAGAATTTTTAACAGAATTATAACGGAAACACTACATTGATTTGCAACACCTATTTTTAGGGACTACATTGATTGATTTTCAATTTTAAGAATCATCTTAATGGTAAGCGTCAATTTCATGGACCATTTGTGATAAAAATCCTAGTTAAAATGTTGAAGTCAATGTTTCTGTGTATTTTTGGCTTTTGTAATGATTTGGGATGTAGGGGGAGCAGCAATTCTAGAATGGGATAACTCACCATCTATTATTTGACGAATTGTTTGGATTTGTAGCATAACTCGATCACTATCTTCAATTAGTTTGACTAACTTCGTTCTAGCCAGATGAAATGTCAATCTGTAGTGGCCAAAAGCAACATAGGCTATTGCATTTATTCATCAATAGCTGCTAAATCGTGACATATTTACTTTGATATATTTCATTAAAAATGGTATTTGGAAATTAAAAAGTGAAAGGAAGAGACATCACACACAATTGAAAATGTGTTGTAACATAGTGTTATTAATCACGTGTTATAACCGTCACTATCATGTAATATTATTATTATGCTCATCTTATGTCCGTAAAACATTAATTATTTTATAACACGTAGATTAGTAACACAAGTGATGATCACAGTCAAAAGTTTCTTAATATTAGTGGACAACAAAGTTGAATTTATAGACTCGGGCTATAATATTATAAAAATAAACACGTGTTATGTGAATGAATTGGCAACATAATGCAATGGTAGAGGTCACAAAGAAAAATTTATGACTAATAAGCACATGAAAGCTAGAAGCTGGCATATGAATGAAACCCAAAAGGCCTTATAGATATGTAATTGAACTTCTAGAATGATTAGAGTACAAACTCTCACCATTGTGAGTAAGGTCATATATATTTAATATATATTTAAAGTTTGAATCAATTTATATAAAATAATAATAAAAAAATAAAATTGAGTAGCGCTATATGTCATATTCTTACTCACCACGTTTTCTCACCATGCTTTCAAGACCAATTTGTATGCATTAAACTTTTGTGAGAGATGTGGTCAGTAAACATGATACAATTTATAAGGCTTCTTTTGTTACAGTTGCTTGACGACTTCCTTCATCAAATCAGGGTTGGCATGTTGGAAATCGAACAGCTCCTCGAGTGAAATGAACCCATCGCGATCCTTGTCGATCTCCTCCATTCTCTGACGGACTTCTTCCGGCGAAGAAGAGCCAAGTGCTTTGAGTGCATCAGCGAGCTCAGTCAATGAAATCTTGCCATCGCCATTGTAATCAAATCGCTTAAACACACGCTCACATCCAGCCTTGGCATGATCATCAGCCATTGTGTTTGTATTGTGATTGCAGTATTCAAGTTTCCTTCTTTTAAGTTTTGGTTTTTTTATGGAATTTGACACGAAACCAAGTAGTTGACAAGTTTATGTGATCGATCTGGGTTGTTCTTGGACCTGGTATTAATGCTCAGGAAGCGGATCATCACCTAGAAACGAGGAAGAAACCTTCTTGATTTAGACATAAGTTAACCGTAAATATAGACAAATAATTATTACTAGGGCCTTGACAAATTTCAAGTTACTTAGTACGTACCACGTAGTAACCATATCAAATAACCTAAAAAATTAATCAATTACCAGTTTTTTATTTTTTAAAAATAGGACCAGTTGGTGACTTCGATACGACAGTCCACCCTTATGGAGACAAAAAGACTCACATGAGCATTCCACCCTCACCATAGGCACAATAGTGTGATTCATCAACTCCAGAAATCGAACTCAAAACGTACCGTGTTGAATACGGGTCTGGAATTAGTCTCAACCACAGGGTCACCCCTTGGTGGTTAATCAATTACTAGTTAGCTAGTGCTTACGTGGGAGGAAAGAAAACTTAAAAATTAGTATATTAGTGCTTAATTATGCTTTGAGTCTCCACCAGCCATAGTCCAAAAGGCTCCATTTATCACGAAAATGCCATAACATTGTCTCTAATTAACAACCGGATTATACTTAGTAAAACTTGGTCAGCATGCCAAAGGGATACCAGGAGTTAAAACATTCAAAATATTAAAAAATTCGTCTTCTTATAAATATGTTTCCAATTGATATGCTAAAAAGTCCAGAAACCAACTATTTGACATCCTTTATGATAGGTTTAAGATGCCAAGGGGCATCCAAACATCATTCTCTGCCTGGCTAATTTCACGACGGACGCATTAGCTCATATGGGCTTCACAGTTGCCAACCCTTATTTTTGGGATTATTGTCTTTCGATTTCGGCTATGATGGCCTTTAATTTTAATTGTATGAGAAACGGTTGTACTAGAGGGTTTAAACTTTAATAAATTTTGTCTTCATAAAAGAAATTGGGTAAAGTACAAAAAACTACCTCAACTATTAGTCTCATGACACTTTCATACCTCATCTTTTTAAAATGACAATGTCATACCTCATCTTACGAATTTGTGTCAATGTCATACATCCGTCAGTTTTTCTGTTAGTTTCTCTGTTAAGTGTTGACGTGGCCTAGCTTAAATAGTGATGTGGCTTAAATAAATTAATAAAATATTAAAAACTAAAAAATTAAAATCATTTAATATTTTTTTACATGGGGACCCATCCCCTTTCCCCCTCCCATCTTCCCCAAATCCGATCCACCCCCTTTCTCCCTTCTCTCATCTGCAACCCCACCCACATTTCTCTCATCTGCAACTCTCACTCACCCTCCCTTCTCTCATCTTCATTGTCGACTCCATCCACCAACGACCATCACCTTCTTCCTCATTCTAACTGACGACATCGAAGTCGCCGATCTCCAGCACACCAACCTCGCCCCTCTTCGGTTACCCACTTCTTCCATTGATCTCCTCCCTTTCCTTACCAAACTACCCATATGGGTTCGAATACTTCTGTGAATCCTTGACAGCCTTGTTGCCCCACGATTACCAAGTAATCGACTTCGTCGTTGGGTTTGCAGAAGTTGAGGACCGCCTCTGCCACCTCCCTTTGCTCCCGCAGCCCAGCACCATCTTCAAGCCCAGCAAAACGCAGCAGCAATCCCACACCCACCACCATTGCCGAGTCTTTTAGGAATACAAATTGGGTTTTTTTTTCTGGGAAAAATTGAATGGTTTTGCTTTGTTTGGTTGCTCGGAAAATGTGGGAGAAAGGAAATGAAATTGGTGGGTGCTTTGTTTTTTATGCATGCTTGTAGGTTAGAAATAGATAGAGCGGCGGAGGAAGAGAAGATAGGCACCTGGTGGGAATGGGAGTGGTTGGTTTGGGGTGGGATATGGGTTTGGGTTAGGGGAAGACGACAACCTTGTCGGCCCCGACCTTGACAGCTTTCCCTCTCTCCCTTTCTCCTTGACAGCTTCGGAGACGGCAACGACGGCGGATCGGCAGTGGGCAATGGAGTGGGAAAAAGAAGTGGGTCGGAGCTTGCAGGTAGATCCGAGAAAGGAGGGCGGATGAAAAAATCCAGGTGGGTTTGGGGGGTTCTAGGCACGGCGAGAGAGAGAAGTGGGGAGGAAATAGACTATGGTGGAGAGGAGAAGGAGATGCGAGAGAGAGAGATGGGAGAAAGAAGGTGGTGGAGGAAGGTTGGGGGGGACGAGTGGGAAGGGGAAGGGGGAGTCGAGTGGGAAAGGGTTTTGGGGATGCAGAGAAGAGAGATAGGCGAGATAGAGGGAGGAGAGAGAGAGAGAGAGAGGAGAGAGAGAGAGATTTAATATAATTTTTTTAATTTTTTAAAATTTTAATTATTAAAAAAAATATTTAATTATATTTTAATCCAGTTGGATTAGTGAGTGGCCCGTATCTAGCCACGTCAGCACTTTACAAAAAAAACTAACAGAAAAACTGACGGAGGTATGACATTGGCACAAATTTGTAAGATGAGGTATGACATTGTCATTTTAAAAAGATGAGGTATGAAAGTGTCGTGAGACCAATAGTTGAGATAGTTTTTTGTACTTTACCCAAAGAAATTCCATAAATGGACAGGGACCCTGATCAACTTATATATGGGACCATATAAGAATTATGAATACGAGCTCGTTTGGATTTTTTTTTCAAAATAACTGAAAGTATTTTTAGTGAAAATATCTTTGAGTAAATTGTAGCAATGGTCCCTGAACTTTAATCAAATTGGAGCAATGTTCCCTCAACTAAAAATCCATTACCATTGGTCCCTCAACTTATCAAAATGTGTAGCTATAGTCCTTTTCATCAATTTCTTCAAA